TATTATATCTGTCACGGTGACCTGTGATCAGTGATCTTTGATATTACTATTGTAATTATTTTGGAGTGCCATGAACCATACCCAAAAGATGGTGAACTGAGTCAATAAATATTTTGTGTTCAGACTGCTCCAACTGATCAGACAGTCTATCATCACTCTTCCTCTTTTCCTTGGGTCTTACTATTCCATGAAGCACAAAAATATAAAAGTTAGGCCAATCTATAATCCTACAATGGCCTCTTAATGTTCAAAAAAAAAAAAAAAAAAAAAAGAGTTACATGTCTCTCACTTTAAATCAAAAGCTAGAAATGATTAAGCTTAGTGAGGAAGGCATGTCAAGAGTCAGGAATGGCTAAAAGTTAGGCCTCTTGTGCCAAACAGCCAAGTTGTGAATGCAAATAAAAAGTTTTTGAAGGAAATTAAAATTGCTACTCCAGTGAACACACAAATAACAAGAAAGCAAAACAGCCTTACTGCTGATGTAAAGAAAGTTTGAGGTTTCTGGATAGAAGATCAAACCACCCACAACATTCCCTTAAGCCAAATTGTAATCCAGAGAAAAGTCCTAACTCTTTTCAATTCTGTAAAGGCTAAGAGAGGTGAGGAAACCAAAGAAGAAAAGTTGAAGCTGACAGACAATGGTTCATAAAATTTAAGGAAAGAAGCCCTCTTCATAACATAAAAGTACAAGGTGAAGCAGCAAGTGATGATGGAAGATCTGCAGCAAGTTATTCAGAAGATCTAGCTAAGATTAGTGATATAAAATTTACACCAATCTGTAACCCTACAATGCCTTCTTAGTGACGTAAGATCCATGATGACAGTGATTATCATTGATGAAGATATTCTGTAACGGAATGCACAATATCTCTCAAGTATGCGTGCGTGTGTGTGTGTGTGTGTGTGTGTGTGTGTGTGTGTGTGTTTGTATTCCCACAGGTCCTATACAGAACAATATATGAAAGGTACTTAGACACAATTTGTATCTGCTACTCATTGGTTTATTGCTCTTCACCAAAAAATGTTACAATTTAGTTAATATTTATGTTAAAATTTCAGAAAATATTTAGTTTCCATAGCAATGTAAATGACCATAATATAAAGTTTCTCAGTCAAATACTTCTTTTTTTATAAAGAAAAAAAAAAAAAAAGGAAATTTTTGCTTAATGATTCTTTCAGTTTGGATTTCCAAGCATGTAAATGAATGATCTGCAGTCTTTGCAAGTATTGAAACATAAGGCATTTGTCATTTTCATTACACAAGTCAAGAATCTACCTAGATTGTGTGATTGGGAGGGAAGTTGGTACAAATAAAACACTTTCTGGGATCTGAGTAAAGGCAGTGGAAGAGGAACTGAGAAAAAATCTTCAGAGTAAAGCTTTGTGCTAGAGATTTCACCAACCAAGAAGAATGCTTTCAAGTTCTTTTGCAGGACAATTTCCCATTCTTAACCTGCCTGATTTAATTTGTATATTATGGTATATTAATTTTATATTATAATTTAATTTTTATATTGTATTAATTCTTATTGTATTAAAAATATAATTCTTGGCTGGGCGCGGTG